AAATCAAGTTTACTTTCCAACAGTATATACCTAAAAAGGCTCTTATGCTGCTATCAATAGAATAGGTTAAAAGAGGAAACGGTAAAGCAAAAATAACATGATCGTTGTAGTTTTAAAAGACACAGTCCATTTAGATCTTTGAGTAGTGTACGGCTACGCAGTAGTGAAGAGGGATTTATGCAGTCGACTAATAATTTATATAGAACTAAAAGGCAGGATCATTTCATTAACAGAATTTCTTTCTTCAATAATGCAGCCACAAGAAGCTAAGATCACGGCAAATGGAAAAATTGTTCAGACATATGAATGGGCAAAACAATGTTTGCAAACTAACTATTATGGTACAAAGAGAATGGTTGAAGCATTTATTCCACTCTTAAGGTTGTCTGATACACCAAGGATTGTGAATGTGTCTTCTCTCATGGGTATATTGAAGGTAAAATTTATTTACTTCTGTGGAAAAAAAAAAATTTCGTGAGATGACCAAAATGTAAAGAAAATGAAAAATAAATGCGTTTTTAAAATTTTCTATAATGTGAACTTACTTTAGTAATTTAGGGTGAGCCAACCTAAGATAATTTAGGGGTAACAACTGGATTCTTGGAACGGAACACAACTCTTCAAGAACCTGACATATGCTATTTCTCATGATCCCACATCCAGTTTCAGTCCAATGAATGGGCAAAACAAGTGCTAAGCAATACAGAAGAACTCACAGAAGATAGTGTGGATAATGTGCTCAACAAGTTTCTTCAAGACTTCAAAGAAAACTCATTGAAAGTCAATGGCTGGCCGAAACATTTACCTGCATACAGATTGTCGAAATCTGCCATTAATGCCTATACAAGGATTATGGCCAAGAAATACCCTAATTTCTACATCAACTGCGTGTGTCCTGGATATGTGAAAACTGATATAAATGCCAATACCGGTCCATTGACTGTTGAAGAAGGTGCAGATAGTTTGTTGAAGCTGGCAATGATGCCGGATGGGGGAGCCGCGCCTCCATCTGGACTTTTCTTTTACCGGCAGAATGTATCGGCTTTCTGATAATTTGGTCCTTTCAAATGTCATATTTCTCTAGTAATTGTATGGGGTTTGAATTGAATAAAGATTTATGTATTTATTATATTGATAATGGGTTTTCTTCTTAAATCCATTGAAGGACATGTTAATTTGAGGTTTCTTTGTAATGAAATCAAAACTGGAGTTTGAAGTCGTTGTTTGTTGTTCAATTTTGATGTTCCATTGCAAATTTTAACTAATTAATCTCGAAAGTGTTCGTTTATTTCTTGTGCACTAACTTGTATCAAAAGGTTGGTACGTATAGTATATTTCACGTCTCAAATCTTATAATGGGTTTGTCCTTTTTCTATGGAGGGTTAAGTACAACCTAGGCTTGATGAGTTTAGACATTCCGATACTTTTTTAGTGAAATTTCAGTAAACAATTTCCAAAGGCTCAATAATCAGATTTCCAGACTTCACGCTCACCGTTTAGCTTGAGAGAAATCGACTACTCATCCGTGCAATTGCTTGTCATCAACTTGGTCTAGGACAAAGATGCCAAGCTTGATCATTCTAACCAGATTTATCCACTTCACATGTCTACCTAATATTTTGCATGCAAATATTAACTTATAAGTTAAATAAATATACAGCAATAATTCTAGCAAGTGTCCAACTTATGAGCATCGCATCAAGTTGGTCCCCAACTTCTATTTAAAGTATTTTAAATTCTCAATCTTTTAAGGTTCTATTACTTTCGACCATAATGAACTGATAAAAAGTACGTGATTCTCTGGAAAAATGATTAATTAACTCTTGAACAAATATATTTCAGAATATATATTTTTTTTTTTAAACAAAATTACACAGCATTTTTAACACACTTAACAAGAATTGATCAAAACTCATAAACAAAGAAAGAAACCCTAAACTGATATATATATATATATATATTAAAGTGTGTACTTACGACATTTTTGGTAAAGAGGATTTGTCAGGTATTGACAGCATGAAGTAAAGAGACTAACGGTGATTAAGCAGCTATATTTGGACAGCAGCTATAGTTGGGAAAATCAATTATGGGAATTATATGTACAAGATGTGATTATGGACACAATGTAATTTTACCTTATTCAATATTTCTGTAAACATCATTTCTGTAAATAGTCTTATGCTTGATGTATGAGTATAGGAAACCATTATTAATAAACACACTAAATCTATCTTTTTCTTCTTGGTATCAGAGCCATAACAGGCAAACGCCGAGCAATTTCGATCCACCGTCTCACCTCTTTTCAATGGCGCAAACACCGCAATCAGGCAAGTCCAGCACTTTAGACTTGACAAAATTAATCACAGAAATGTCCAAACTCACCAGCTCCTCATCAAATTCATCTCTCCCTCTCAACTACAATATCTCATCCCAATTTCCAGTTCTCATGGACAGGAATAATTATCTCAGTTGGAAATCTCAATTTACAGACATTCTGGACATACATGGACTTGGAGATGTCATAAAAAATACTGTGNNNTGGAGATGTCATAAAAAATACTGTGCATCCACCCAAATTGATGGCAGATAGAACTGTCCACCCTGATTTTGCTCGAGACAAATTGGTTTTGAGTTGGATCAAGGCAACATCCTCACCTTCCACTAAAACACTGCTCGTCTCATGTTCTACTACCTCTCAGGCATGGAGCCTATTGGCTAAACGTCTCTCACCACTAGCGGACAGCCATGTGCAACTCGTACGGGATGAAATTCGAATGCTGAAATGGGACAATAATACCCCAATTTCTGACTATCTCAATCGAGCAAAATCACTCTTTGATTCATTGAAGCAGGCTGGTGGTTCTATGGATGATGATGAGCTTATCACCTACACTCTTAACGGACTTGGACTCGAGTTCAGAAATTTAGCAACAACGCTTCATATGCATCCCGATTTGGAATTTGGCCAATTCTATGATTTAGTTTTGAAAGAGGAACATTTACAGAAGAGACTCAATCTGATCACTGCTTCTGGAGTTACCATGGTTGCTGATCGGAGACCCACTGACCGTAATCAGAATTCTTTCTCTCATCATGGTGGTAACAGGGGACATGGCAGAGGCAACCGTGGTCGTGGACGTCGATTATCTCCTTCTGGCAGACATCCATCGACGTGGAGTCGGGAACACCCTCCTCACGATCAGCCACCGCCATTTCTCTCCGACGGACGCCCTCCTCTCCTTCCCACACCGGTGGCTGCTCCTTCACGCAAGAATCCAATTTGTTTTAGGTGTGACAAAATGGGTCACATTTCTCGTTATTGTCCAGACCGTGGGCCTCAAGCATTTGTGGCCCAAAATGCTTCCTCACCCACAGCAGCCTAACACTCCAATTGGTGCTTTAATTCTGGGGCAACTCATCATATAACTCCTCATCCAGATGGTATTTCAGATTCTCACCCTTATACAGGTACAGATACTATAATTGTTGGTAATGGAAATGAACTAAAAACTACTCATATTAGGAATGCAAAATTAACTGGATCCAA